ATATCAATAAAAAAGACGAAGGGAGGTGATCCTAAAACTCAAGGCGAACGTCAGCTGAAAAGTAAAATGACGTCATGGGTAGGTACGAAAAGAAAACGACTTGCAATTGCGGTTCTTCGCATTCATCAACGTCTCCATCCATTAAGATCGATGGCTATAGCGGCGCAGGGTCAAGTTCTGCCATTCCATCTTCACTCTATTATTTATTCGTTTCACCATGATAAATACAAAATGCCTGAGGTTTATCGGGTTAGCACACAAGGTGAGGACCAAGTTACCGGGTTTCACTCTAGCTCGGTGAATTTGAGGTATAGCCCAGAGGTCTAGGCTGGCTCAGGTCCTTAAACCACTCAAATATTTCTTTGATGACAATTCATCCATTTATTTATTTGTTCATTTACACCTACACTCGCATTAAAACTTACGCTAGAATTTTAAGACATTGTCTCACAATAAGGCAACCTTCGAAATCGCAGAGACAATGTAAAACATTTTCTGTTACTTTTCCTCCCCACTTTTTTTCCTGAGTTCTGCTAAATAATGAATTGATGAAATAAATAGCTTAAAGAAGGAATAATTTCCCAAAAAAAGTCAGCATTATTCCTTTGAGGATATGGGGTACCAACCAATGAGAAACAGCGCTGCAGGCTGCAGCGTCAGGAACTTCAATTGAGGATTCTTCAATGAGCAATGGGGGTCGATTTTGGTCTCGATGATTTTTCTGTGTAAAGCGCGCTATATGCTCCGTAGTGGTCGATGCAGTAACTTAGCTAGTTCTGACAGTTCTGACAGTACGGTATCTACTCCGTAGCCCCTATGTTCGGGGTGTTTGTGGATGGGGGTCGAAATGAAGAAGAAAATATCGGGGGCAGTTAGCGAACATGTCTCAGGTCTTATGATTTGCCCTTAGTGGACAGGCTGGACTATAGCATTGGGATCCTCAAGTAGAGTATGAATGATAATTTGAACGGGTAGTGATGAACATACACTGCACATCGCTGATATGCGGTGGGCGTGGCTGCGAACGTCATATAACCATTTTTTCTTTCAAAGATTGGGTTATTCGTGGAATAATTCATTTTTGATCAGTGGTCACGTTGCCCCTCGTTGGACAGAGATATTACTACAGTTATTCAAAGAAAATATGAACCGCACCTTCTGGTGTATTTGAATAAATAAATAAATATCCCTCTATAAAAAATATCTTGCTAAAGTGCAGCCGCCGCCTGTTTAAAAGAAGTGCGCGGGCACGCCCACCGCATTTCAGTGATTTTTAGTGTGCGAACTGTAGTGATTACAAAGATCGCTTTTATATTCTAATGTTGCTTTCTAAGTACGGTTGGTATCGCCGCAACCAGTCGGGGCGGTTTTGAGAGGGATGAATTGAGCCCATCCGCGGCGTTTTCACCACTATTTGTTTTCTTCCTCAATCGACCGCTAGCCGATCGTCATTGGTAGAGTGGGAGCTAGTCAGGCGGGCTCATTCCGCCCCTCCTGACGCCGCCTCGCGCAGTTACAATTTAACTATATATGTCCTTTGATCAGAATGGAACAGTTTGTACTTTTAAGTAAAATATGTTATAAGTGAATATTATAGACTAATATAATATAATATAGTTGCAATAACTTCGAAGGTATGAAAAACAAATGAAAGGATTTAAACAGCCCAAATAGTAAAAAATAAATAGAACGAATACAAAGCGTCCAAAGCCTTCCAGAAAACCAGTTCACTTTCTCCAGAACTCGTTTCGAAATGGATAGTTTTTTAAGGTTCTTGGTAAATTATAGCCTTGCACGGCCGGTGTTTGCTGATATGCTGCGCCTTTTGTTACCGAATTACTCTGCGACTGAATGATAAAATCAGTGGCGTAATGTCGAAAGAAGAAAAGGGCATAGGAAGGGGGAGCGATAGAGTTACCTCAGCGGGGTGCCGTGCAGCACATTAAATTGTTTGAACTAAACGCAGCTATTTATATCAAACATAAGTCATAAGTCAGATAAGGAAGGTGAAAAAGAGCTTTCCAAGGCTTTTGATGTCTAACGTGTAAGGCCGTAGATCTATCGTAAACGCACCACATGGAAACCCATTGCTGTTCGTTTCTCGCCTCTCAATGTCTTTTATAGTCACTACAAAGATAATCGATAAGGTTGACGCTCTGCAGTTGCCCTAAAATGTTTAGTAGGTTCTCAGTAAAACTGTAAGCGTAAAACAGCAGTCTTCCATGGCCAAAGCAATGCTATGGAGGTCATCCGATCTTTTAAGCTCATTAATTCGATTAACGGCTACTTACTACTTTATATTGTCACTTCTCAGTAACTCCTTAGTGTGTTTCGATGTGTGTGGTTTACGAACGGCGTTTTTACCCTCGTCAGGCTTCATGTCTTTCGTATCCGATGATACAAGGGTCTATACGGGTGGCGAGAAGAAGAGCGTTTAATCGTCGTAAAACGGTTAACCCGTTGTGCGTTAATGGGCGTTTAGAAGTGGCTAGACGCCCACGCACGATAAGCAACTTCGCTAAAAGGAACGATCAGGAAGCGGTCAGAATCGTCAATAGGAAAACGGCGTCCGAGTAGTGTTGGGGAAGTGGAAACTCGCCGCTTAGAGAAAGTACTAGTTGCTTCCAACTCATGATCATTTTCAGTACCAAACAAACTGAGACAGTTCGAAAAACCCACCCCTGGGGGTTATGCATGAAGATAGTAAACGAGTACACTGTATAAAAGACCTCGCTGTTGCTCCAGTGTTCTTTAAACTGTATGCAGTAAGTAAAGGGTCACATGAAACTATCATTATTTAGGCATAAGCACCTAAGTTTGGGTATGGGTTCGAAACGTGCTAGCAGGGGTGCCACATAGGCGGGAACTGGCGAAAAAGCGAATGAAACTGGTTTGCTGAAAAAAGGCTTTTTGTTCTAACCCCAGCTGGAGGTAATTCGTGACGAGGTTTCCCGTTGGATGAGTGCAATAAGCGCATACAGTAGATACGGCTGCATGGTTGGGCTCATATATATCCATGCTACACTGCAGGTGTTTCATATCAACCCCTTCGCTTCATAGCACTTCGCAAATGAAGCGATACGACATAGGGGTCGTCTGTTCGTGGGCGTTCAGGCCGGTATATTGCAGCTTTACAGGGCGCTATAAGGGCACTTTCCTTAGGAAGGGGCCACAGCGCCTGCTCAGGGGCGCCGATCTGCAAAGGCGTTTTAACCCTACAAGCCCTGGGATTTTCGTGCGCGATCTCACTTATACCTTGCAACCTATCTACCATTCGCCACCAGGCGCGTTTTTCGAAAACGGCTCGTTCGGACCGGAGCATTTGCGAGCTCTCAGCAAGTGTCCGCCACCAGTGGTGGACACGGTCCATCGTGACCCCTTACCAATAAATTTTAGCACTGCTCGACTTTCTGCTCCCGAAATCTCCTTTTTTCTGGACCATCGACTGTGGGGGTTATTCCTCAGGTTACAAAAATGACATTCGTTTGTCCTCCGCTGCCATTTGCGCAATGTGTGCTAATTTAGTGGTATTAGTCTTTTCCTCGGAAACCGTGAAGCGTTGGCATATTTTGGGGTGATTGACATATTGGAGGTGGCTCAAAACCTCCTGGCAAGGATGTTTCGCGCCGAGGCAGAAATGTACTGCTGTGTTAAAAAGTCAAACCAACTCGAGGAAACGACTGCTAGCCAAGTTCGCGCGCCAAACGAAAGGAATTGTCCTCAAAGTTCGGCTGGTTTCGGGATGATTCTGGGCCTAAGGGGTGACCAGTGCCGATAATTTTTTCAACCTGCGCTATTTTGGGCTAGCTAGATACTACCTGCATTCGCACGTCGCCTTTTTTCGGGCCAAAAGCTTGCCAGTTGTTCTATTATACCATTCAGGCTCAGTTGGGAGGGGAGCCCGATCACAAATAAGACATTGTTTTTATCTTTGCAGAGCGCTACATGGCATGAGCGCCATGTAGCGCTCTGAAAAGGCTGTAGCTTGGAGGAGGAGTGATTTCCTTCTCCTAAGGCAAGCTCAGCCTCAGCATCGCATTGATAACCCTTGTCTTCTACGCTAACGTTCCTGCAAAAATGAATGTCATTCATAATAAGGACAGCGAATACATCTAGTATCCAAGTACACCATCAAATTTGAGTGGAATAGGTGGATCGCGATCCAAATTGGCGCCCACTGGCGCCAGTTGGCGCTGGACCTGTAGTGAACATCATATTCGTGACCAGACCAACAAAAGCCCTAGTATGTAACTTTTCCTGAAATTGTTGAAAGGTAGTGGGGAGTTGGCCCGGCAGCATATCTCGGCTCGCGGTTTTTGTTGAAAAAGTGGTATGCCCGTATTGTCGGCCTAATGGTGCTAATGGCGTCAAAACGCCGCCGGCGGCTAGACAACGGACGTCACGTTCGTGATAGGGGCACTGAGTAACCTCTAGGGCAGATTTTCAGCAGAAATCTCAATAAGAGGTTTTGGGCTTCAGATGCTGCTAGTTGAATCGTACCTGAGACCCTCATATTTCAAGATCTCGTTGGTCCACTATTTGCATAAATCAACAAAGGTATGAAGACTGTTCTTTAGGAAAACTTCCTCGAAGAAATCGCAGCTTGTTCAAAATTCATGCAAATCTGTCCCGCCACATATGGTGGACATGGTCCGAAGTGGACATTTCGGTGTCCACCACAAGTGGCGGATATTGTCACGAATGGGCTAAACTTCCTTTTCTATGAAGTAAGTGAATAGAATCACATGTAGTCGCTGAGCCAACGTTTGTCAACAAAAATATCCTCCTTAGGGTTTCCACTACATTCGAAATTAAAATTCTATAGTAGAGTAAGCATGGGAATTCGTCAGCTCTGGTCATGTTCAACTCATCAATAATTTATTACAGGTACAAAATTCGCTTATACTGGTCCATGTTGTCCCAGGAATCTGTGCCCAACACATCGGAGCCCGATATGCGATAACCATGGTAAATAAATTTCATTAGTTTTTACTTGTCGTATGGGTATGCGTAAACTCTCATGCATTGTAAACGTACCTGTTCTGTGCTTTACCAAACATTTCTTTATCTAAGAGAAACATATTAATTTCTTCGGCTCTGCATATTTATGGTGGATTTCCACGCAGGACTTCTTGCAGTGGTACTCAGAGCAGACTAGTTATACGATTAGGTACACTCCATATCTCGACGATCTGCAGGGCGTGTCTGCGTGTTTCGTTAGGACTGCGGTGGTTGCACTTTCGATAGGATATTGCCGGTTCGGGGCAATTGCATGTATTCATGCATTTGCCCGGAACAAAGCAGTAGTTTAGTTAGCTGAAGATGAAATGCCTTACGGGAAGAAGGCACATCCTGCGCCGTGTTCGAGTGAAGTACGCAACCACGCCCTCCCCATCTGGAGGATATGGAGTGCACAGAACTAAAAGTTCGATTAGAAGTGTAATAGCCCTTTCCGTACAACTACATATACAGTGTGCCAGTTAATTGTTTTAAGGTGTCTGGAATTTTCTTCAATCATTTTCAGGACGAACTTACGTCAACGAATGTGTTTTCTTCCGAATGCAATGTCTCGCGAGGAAAACGAGTGGGCGTATTTTGTTGAAGGTGAAGAAAATATTCACCGATTCCATACTTCCATACTCTATGTACCTTTGAATTTTTTTTTGAATTTTCGATACATATACCTATTTATCAGGCTCACGATGGGGAGTGTCTGGAAAATGAACGCCAACATGAAGATTGCGAAGTTGGCTGCTTGTTCAGCAACGACACGGCAGTCTGCGATGAGCATGACGTCACTCATGAAAATGAATGCAAGTGAGTTTTCCTGACTTTATTCTTCAAAGTTTTTACCGTTATTTTTCTTTACTCTTTATTATTTGCTCGGTGTCACTGTTTTGCACTTGCCAACATGTTAAATCGCGACCTTCTTCTTTGCACTCTTTGTTCGATGTGATACCAATCATCTTATATGTAAATTAAAATATACACACGAAAACCCGCTGTAAGATGGATAACTGGAACAGAGACAGCTAGAACGTCAGGCGATGGCGGCTGCTGACAAGATACTGTGCAGGCTGCAAAGGCTTATCTAGAACATTGAGGATGGAACAATGAACAAGGGTTAGAAGACATATATAGTGACGGGCGGAAAATCTTATCGATGTCAAGAAGTGCTGAACGCGGATGGATCGGAGAGTCGGCAGGCATGCGAGGAAAACAGCAGCCAGAAAGCTGTCAAAAATGCGCTGAAGCGTAGTAAGCCCCTTATCAAGCTCATGGAATGGTAGATGATGTTACGGGCGGCGTGCGGAGGAGGTTGACCAATTTATGGATAAGCAGTGGACGATAGGGGAGGAGAGCTCTTTACTCCAGATGGAATTTGGGAGTACATAATTTTGATTGGTTGGTGTTTAGGATTCCCTCAGGTTATTCCCTATCACGATGGGCGAATGAGACTGGGTGCAGTTATTGTGTAGTCAGGGTACAGCATGAAGATGCGCTATGACCTCCCTCCCTAGAAGAGGGTCCATTTACCATCCCTCCCTTCGTGCTCTGTTGCTCATGCCCAGAAGTTGCTCAAGCGCGGGGACTGTCTTGAAGTAAGGACCTGGCAGCTTCTCCGGATGAGTTCTCCGGAACTGCTCGTTTGATGCCACCAAAGCAATACTCTGCCACCTCTGGTTCTTAGTCAGCCGGAGCCGGCAGGATGTCGCTTTGCTGACAATAGTACTTGAAAAGCCTTTCCAAGCCACTATGGAAAAGGGAAATTTCAGGAGCGGATAAGTCTATCGGGACTGATAAGCATCGAAATGAGCCACACTTACAATTGTTTATAGCAGTCGAGTTGATCGGTAGTACTGTCAGATTGAAGTGCTTGTTAACAATCGGTAAAGTCTGTAATACAGTGCCTTCAATGCCTAAAAGTGATCACAGCAGATCTGCAAAAGGACGGTCTACACCAGCGCCGCCTTCAAAGCAACATGAAGAAAAACCCAGCGATTGGCCGTTGCAGATAGTGGTTTCGAATGCAAAACTGTACTGCCTAGGTGACCCTGTGATACTTCAGGGCATGAAAAAAGTGATTCAAAATTAATACACATTGAGCAAGCGCTCCCAGCCACCTTACGTGGAGTACAATAGTCGGCGGTAGGAAGCTCCGAGGCCTGTTTGAGAGATAATAACATTTTCAAATGCTGGCCTCTTGGGGAATGGAAGGTAACGTATCAACGCCATGTCTCTGCTGTTGCGTTTTCTACCTACTCGCTATCTGAATCTTCTTTGGGACGCGCAATATTTTCCCTTCATAGCAATCTATACAGTTTTCCTAGTTTAGAAGATATTTTAGATGGGTTACCCTTGGGCGACATTCTGAGCCACTCAAAGGCAGCGTTCGGACTTCGCGACGGCAGCGCTTCGCTCGCGCGTTCGACGCGATCGATGCAGTGGAAAGCATGCGCATCGATCGTCAAATCGCGCGACTGGAGCGCTGTCCGTTGCGAAGTCTGAACGCTGCCAAAAGCTCGACTCCTTCTGTGCCATTGTAAGGATAGTCATTCGCGAACTTCAATATGCCTTCAAAACACATATTCCGTTGAACTGAGTCAAAGCATAATTTGGTTGTCATCGATCTATTTGGTCTGAGAGTGCGCCATGCATTGCGCTTTGCGCTTCCTTACAGAGGTGGTGAGAAGGTGTGGCGTCAAATTTCAGGTGATTTTTGTCCATACAAGCAGATGTTTGTTTAGGGTTTGGAAGGGTCGATAAGCACGAATTGTTTGAGATGTATTATTCAGTCATTTACATGCTTACGAGCCCATGCTAACTATTGATATTGCTAATCAATTATTTCGATATTTTGTAGTCTTCCACACATCCGGTCCTCTGCAGCTTTCGTCCGCTCCATCAAACTTAGCGATGACACTTTTGTGCTGTTTGGTGCTCACCGACCCTGCGTTTACGACCCTCCCCAGCGGCCAAATACAAACTCCCATTGGTTTCGCACACAGAGCACATCATGATTGACAGAGGGGTCATGTGAGGGGGGGGGAGGGAAGAAGGAGGTCGTAGTTGCTATGAGAAAACTTCCTTCTGATAGATGATTTTTCCTTGTTTCACGGACCCCATGAGGAGGGGTTTCGCATTTCTTCCTGAGAGAAATTTGCGACGTTGGGGAAATGTTTCACGGTCGTTGACTTTTCGCGTTTCCTGTTTCACATGTGTTTTCCTCTCCACCCCTCGTTCAA